TTTTGCTCTCTATGTGTTTATCCTATAATTATTATTATTGCTACTCCATTGTGTGTGTGTTGTTGGAGACTCTCTGTTTGTCTGCTTGGGCTTGCACTGTGATGATGATGAACTGTTTTTTTCGCAGTGGGAAAATGAAATAATAATAACAGAAGAAATTATATTTATAATTGCGTATATACACACATATAGACTTACACCCATAGTTGGTGTGTATTTCTGTGTTTACTGGGTAAATTGGGCTAATGATTAATATTTGTGTTTTTTTGCTTCTTTGTTTTGCTGGGTCGCTGACCCTTTTTGAGATATTTGTGAGTGTGGGCTTTTTTTTTTTATTTTTACTCTTACTGAAGTTATTGAGCTGTATTGCATTCTTTAACTGGTAGGTTTTTCTTTTGTGATGTGAGTTTCTATAGTGGTAATTAATTTTTGTGTGTCCTAACGTGTTTGATACTTCATTTATTTTCTTTTTTGCTTTTTGATTGTCTTTCTTCCTAGATCAGTTTTTTTACGTGAAACAAACCCTTCTCTCTCTCATGATGATGATGATGCGCAGTGTGATGTGTGTGTTGGCCGTTGTGCTGTGCTGCGCCTGCGGGTATACCATGGCGGCTGCTGCTGCTGTTGATAATGACAGTCCCAGTGGCCGTGGTGTATCCCGTGGGGCTGTGGAGGTGTCGTGCGGGGCCGGCGGTGCGCTGCGTGTACGCCCCGCTGCTGCGAGCGAGTGGCTTACATGCGGTGCGGGCAGCCGTGTGTCTGCATGTGGGAAGTACGCAGACCTCTGCAGCCAGCGTACCGCAAGAGCAGCAACCATAAAAACAAAAACCATTCCTGGTCAGCCAAAGGCGATGATGGCTAATGATGGTGTTCCGGAATGGGATTATTTTCTTAAAACAGCACTCTATGATAAGGACTGTTTTAATAAAAGTGGAGAAACCGAAGTTAATGGAATGAACTGTGCTCACTGGAATACTTATGGGAAGGTTAAAGGAGTGTCGGATCCTACTCCTGTGTCAACAAAGGCAGAACCTCTTAAAAATGGGATGGGTACATCACATCTACCTGCGCAAGAAGAGCATCATGTTCAACTGCAAGCAGCAGGTGCACAAGATCCTTCTCTAAGTGGGTCCACAGCACAAACAACGTTGACAGGCACCCCGTCAGATTCTTCAGTGACGAAGAACGAACCAGCAGTAACACAACCCAGTATAGCTGGAAGTGGTGAGGCCCCACCTAATGAAGATTCTATCGCGTTAGAACGATCACAAAGCCAAACTCAAGAGTCTTCTCAAGCACTACAAAGTGACAAAGGAGTGTCGAACAGCACAGGGGATAACAGTACACCTGCCACCTCTAATCCCAACCAGCAATCTACTGCAACTGATGATGCGACTGCCGCATCAGATTCACAAGATACCAATTCCACTACTCCGCCACGCTCCGAGAACACCACCACAGAAGCACCTACCACCACTTCATCTCCTGTACCCAATTCAGGGATCACCTCTATTGCCTCCGCAGTGCAGAAGAATAAGGGTAATGTTGACAGCAGTGTCACTCCTGTGTGGATGCGCACTGCAGCATCGCTGCTGATTGTGGTTGTGTTGTTCTCCGCTACTGTGTACTGAACGGGTGGGACTCACTTGAGGGCAAATAATAATAATAATGGTTAAACTAACATAATCATATTTGCGTACATCCCCCATGGGTGAATGAATTAATAATCTGTTTACCAGCTTTCTCCTTTAATTGGAATATCTTTTCTTTTTACTTTTATGTGTGTTCTTTTTCTAATTAATTCCATTACTTGCTTTTCCCGTTATGTGTGTTTGCAGAAAACTGGGCTGTTCTGCTCACTGACGGTATACATCTCTTGCTAGTACACACAGATGTGTGTGTGCAGTAATTTAGTATACATAAACTAGAGCCATGGGGTATTGTGTGTGTTTGCCTCTTTCTTATTTGGGTATTGTGGGGTGTTCTCTTTTCTTTTCTATTAATGTTTACATATTATCATACAAACGGGATATTCCTTTTTCTTGTTGCTTTACTGTGCAGTTGCTGCTTTTCTCTCTCTCTATTCCACTGTGAGTATTTGTTGTATTGTTGTATGTTTGTTTGTTTCTATCTCATTTTCCCTTTCTGTTTCTATTTCTTGTATCACTCTATTGAAGTAATCAGCAGCATTGACAAAGGCTGTAATGGTGAGGTGTTACCTCTTTTGTTTACTAACTCTTGCACTGTGTTGTGCTTGTGGGTTAGTATCGGCTGATAGTCCTAAAGCTTCTGATGTCCTTATTAAACCTTCTACTATTGGTGTTCCTTCTCTTGTTCGTCGTGCCGTTCCTGCGTTTATTATCTGTGCTGGTGATGATGAGGATGATGATGAGTGTCACTATAAGAAGGAAGAAGATGAAGTTGAGGATAACGAGGATGGTGTTTCTCTAGTTGCGGGTGAATTGGGTTCTTCAAGTGGCCATTCTTCCACTGCTGCTGAGGTACCAGGAGCTGCTCCTGGTTCTAAGCAGCAGGGGTCAACAACTCCTGAACAGTTGAAAGAAATACAGCAAGAGGGGCCCCACGAGAAACATATACAAGAGAAACAGGAACTGCTGGGAAAAGAAGATATTACCACACCATCTCATGTTTCAGGGATAAATGGTCAGGGTAATGCCAGACCCCTTGAGGCATCCCCTCCTGCACAGTCAAGTAAAGGATCAGTAGGAAGAGATGGAAATACTGGAGAGACCCCAACAGTGTCTGAAGAACCATCACTAAATAGCGAACATGCTGCTCAACAAGAAACTCCATCGGGTGGACAACCACAGGATGGCACAAACACTCACGTTACACCAAATGAAGAGACCCCAATCACTAGAGTATCAGGTACTACTGATGGTGAACAGACTTCTGCCAATGCACCTCAGAATACATCTGAGGCATCTTCGACCACTTCAGCCACACCGATTGCTAGTGAATCTGGAGATGCACAGAATGAATCAACAAGTACCCAAGAAGGTACTGCAGATAATACAGTTACCACCACAACAACAACAACACTTCCTCCTGAACCTACAAACAACAAGAAGGGAGATGCAGACAGCAGCAGTATCAGCAGTTCTGTGTGGGTGCGTGTACCACTACTGATTGTGGTTACACTGGCCTGTATTCTTGTGTGCTGATTGTGTGGTGTGATGGTGGTGTGACTGAGGTCATCCTTTGTTTTCTTTTTCTTTTTTGCATGCATACATACAGTCTACCTAATCTTTCACCTGTTGGGATTTTCTCTTCTTCTTTTGTTTCTTAATGTTATTGTGTTTTGTGTGTTTTTGCTCTCTCTGTGTGTTTATCCTATAATTATTATTATTGCTACTCCATTGTGTGTGTGTGTTCTTGGAGACTCTCTGTGTGTTTGCACCTGGGCTTGCACTGTGATGATGATGATGAACTGTTTTTTGCGGTGGGAATGAAAAGAAATGATAATAATAATAACAGATGAATTTATATTTATAATTGCGTATATACACACATAGAGACTTACACCCATAGTTGGTGTATATTTCAGTGTTTACTTGGGTAAAATGGGCTAATGATTAATATCTGTTTGTTTGCTTGAGGGCTGTTGGGTCGTCGTGTATTTTGCCCTATGTCTTTTTGGTGATGAGCTTAATGCAAAAAAAAAGAATAAAAGAGAAATTTTTATTCATAATTGCTTATGAACTCTAGCACACCGATATTTCTCTGAATTCTATTTTGGTGGGACCGCCGGCTAATATCATAATTTCTTTTTGGCTTTATGGAGCAGTTTCCGTGGTGACTCATCACTGAAAAGTTTATTTTTTCTTTAATAACTGTTGTTTTTTTTTGTGTTGTTTTCTTTCTTTTTTTTTTATTGTATTGTATCTTTTTTGTTTTTGTTCACCTTTCTGTTTTTTATGTATTTGTTTAGCCAAGTGACCCAAACAAAAAAGGCCTCTTGTCGTGATGTTTTTGCGTTTTGTGTTGTTTGTGATCGCATTGCTTGTGAGTATTGGCTGTGTTTCTGTAACGGCAGCTGAAGGTGGTGACCCTTCTGCTCTTGCTACCCCTTCTAAAACTGATTCGGATACTTGTCCTCCAGATTCTTCTGATGGTCCTCAGTGTCCTCCTAAAGGTGATAAAGGTGAAGATACTCCTAAAAATTGTGAGGGTGTTCCTGAGGGTGGTCAATGCCCTAACAGTGAAAAAGGAAATCAACACCAAGTGAATGAAGAGAGAAAATTACAACTGGCTTCTTCTGCTCTTGAATCCAATGGTCTTGGATTAAATAATGGAAATTCGCGAAATGATCCAAATGTAGTGCGGGCAGAAGAAGAAGGTGAGGATTTAGACACTGATGATCTCAAGAGTCAAGAAAATGATCTACTTGATAGAGAAAAAAAAACCCTAACTCCAGTGGAGAATCCACATAGGGAAACTACTCAATCAGAAGCTCATGTACAGGCCCAAGCGCAGCAAATCACACAACAAGGAATCCCTGCTTCTCCTCAAACGCAAGAGATCAGCACAGTGGTCAGCAATCCTACGAACACAAGAACACAAGAGACTCCAGGGAATGATAATACTCTTAATACGGAATCCACACCTCAAACAAATCCACAACCACAAGAAAAAAATGAATTGCAATCATCTGGCATTGCTAGTGCTGAGACTCCTGCATCACCTTCACCAGCGGAAACTGAAAACACAAATGCATCTGATAATACAAATAGTGGGAGTGCCAGTACACCTGCAGTGGGTGAATCAACAAATAACATAGCTACAACCACCACCACCACCACTACAACAACTACAACAACAACAACAATTCCTCCTGAACTCACAAACAACAAGAAGGGTGATGCAGACAGCAGCAGCAGTATCATCAGTTCTGTGTGGGTGCGTGTACCACTACTGATTGTGGTTACACTG